GAACTTCCGAATTCAAGCTTGTTCATCACGACCGAAATCCGGCACGACCGGGTTTCGGGAACCAGAAGTGAGTCACGAGATGACTCTTGAGCCAACTGGCTGGGGGGTCATAACCAGGAGACCCTCGGAAACAAGACTTGTGGACACCCGCACACCTCATCCGCGCGGTTCCGACACATCCCCAACGGTACACTGACAGTGGTCGGTAAGACCTTGGAGACGACCTACCAGGCAGGTGAACTATAGCAGGGTTTGGAGCTTCATGTTTTGACCCGTCCCCAACGTCATACAGTCTGCAAGGTCCATCTCCATCTCCTCTGCCATCAATCCTGCAGACCTCTCAAAAAAGAAGCGCCCCTACCATGGGACCTCACCACTATGATTTATTGTCAAACCTCGCACTACAGCACCACATGCATGTGGCGTCCCACGCTCCAAAGCGTTGTTGCTGGGCCGCCGGGCCCCAGCATTAAACCAAACAGCCAAACCATGGGCTCGCTCGGCAACTGGCGAGGGGGGTGGCTGGCTGCTCCAAGCGGGTTGGATACACGTGGTGACACGTGTCAGTGAGGCAGTAGCAAACTTCTAAATTTGCCTGGGATGTTCCTGATCTTGACCATGAAGGAAGTACCATTCAGGTGTTGAGTGGCTCTATCTCACCATTCACCTCGTGCCACCTGGCGGCCACCTGAAAGGATCACCCCCTGTCGCATCCCAATGCCGCACCTCCACGAAACCTGAGCTGCAGCAGCTCAAAGGGAAAGGTCAAATTAACAGTTTCCAAAATGTACTGTAGACTCTTGATATCTCTTGATGAATAGAGCCCCATATGAAGGAGTTGTTCCCTACTTGTAGCAAGGGTACGTGGTTCCGGCGCGCGTCGTAGATCGTCCGCAAGTTCGTGCATCCAAATGGGGTGTGTTTTTGGTTATTCAGAGTCTATATACAGTCATATACAGTCTACATTACTGCCTAGAGTCTAACAAATGTTTCATTCAATGCAACAAACACTCCCGGACACATTCATGGTGCCCGTGCGGAAGAGCTCCGTACACTTCTCCCACAGCCGGCCGAAAAGGCCCTTCGGTTGAAGCTCCTAGATGCGACATCCCGGCGAGACCACCAAAAACTGCAAGGACCCTTGCGAATTCGTTGGAATTGGGAAGTCAGTTCCATGTATGTTCGGCACCCGCAACAGGGATTTCAACTTGGATTCAACCAGTACTGATTCAATGCCTCGGTTTGGAGCCGTTTCGGGACCATCTCGCACGGTGTGGCGCCGCCCCTCGCCCCGGTGGCCCCCAGATGGACGCTCTGCGCGGCTCCTGGGCGGCCTCTGGAAAATCGTCCGCTCCCAGCGGGGCATCCAACCTGGATGGTCAGCACGACTGGACGACTCAAGTTGTGCCGTCAGCCATGGTGGCCCCCAGCCAGGCAGCGGCAAGTCCAAGCATGATTTGGGTGGAAATCACCAACTCCTTGGAGGCTTTGAGGCTCGTCCTCCACTAGGCTGCCAGCTTGAAGTCCTTCAAATCAATCACACAGCACCATGCACCATGCATGTGGTCTCCAATGTTGGTCCCTCAAACTCCGCAGGCTTGGGCTAGCCGCCTGGCCTACCACGTGGGGCCCCGGACGCCAAGTGCGGGCCCCCAAGGTCCTGGAGGCGGAGACCCGGGCGCAGGGCGCAGTGGGCGAGTGCTTCGGCGAATTTGGGTGGCATCCTTCAGATCTGTGGCAACTTCTGAATGCAAAGGTCATTAGAAAGGGACAAATTGTAGACTCTTGATGTTAAAACCGTCCACTTCAAAAGGTTTTACAATCCAAAAAGGGTTGGGTTTTGTTGATCAAGAGTCTCCATGAGGTTCGCTTTTTGGAATGCATGTTGAAAGGGAAGTCACTTTTCCTATCTACCATCTACTACTGGCATGATGGGAGAAAAATGGAGAAAATCACCTAATTTATATAGAAACCCTGTCTCGCGAGCGACCGAGAAGCGACCGACCGTGGGACCCTGGTACTTCCCAAACACGACGAATGCGACTGTATTTTAACATACATTGACCCCGTGTCAATCAACCACAGCGATGATAGGGCAAAAAAAATGCCTATTCCTTCGGAGTGTCTGCAGTTCGAATCCTCAAAGCATCTCAACATCTTTGGGTCGCAGCATTGAGAGACGTTGTTGAGTTCTGCCGCTTTGTGCGGGCCAAAGCCACGGCACCGGCCGATCTGTCCTTGGCACTCGCGGGGTCCTGGATCGTGGCCTGAGCAGGTCGGGCGAGGGGTTTGCGAAAGACCTGTCACCCAATCAATGACCGTCTGGACAGTTGCATACGTTTAGAATTAGAATATGTTTAGAATTGTTGATAGAATATGTGTAATATGTCTATCTCTGACCGTCTGCGAGTGTGCGGCAGACCGTACACGGCAGTCCGCAGGGTAGTGTAGAATGTGGTTCAAATTGTGGATAGATCCGGATCATCTGTTCGCACTCACCTCCACTACTGACAGACTGACAGATCTTCAGCACTGCTGGGATGGTCATGGTATGTCATGGTAGTCAATGTTGGAATCCCTCATGTGTGACTGTAAAGAGGTAAAGACGACTAATAGTGACCCTGTCACTGCTTTATAGTGCAGCTCTTGAATCTCCTCCTAGTCCCAACCCATGTTGCTGTTGTTGTTGTTGTGGTTGTGGTTGTTGTTGTTGTTGTTGTTGTTTTCAGGGCTTCCGTGGGTTTTCGTTCTATTCCATTACGATGCGAAGTGATGGTCGTTGGAGCCTTCACTCCCCTCCTCGAGTCGGCCCGGTCGCCTGCAGTTTTTGCAGCCACTGGGTGAGGTCGCGGCTGGCCTTACCCACTCGCCGCCCCCGTGCGGAGGTTCCGGTGGGGTTCGGGGGGGCGGAGCATCGACTGTTTGGTTCAAGGATGTTCCTTTTTTAGAGCTTCCCCAGTTGAGATGGGGAGTTTTTTCCAGCAACAGGACAAAGAGGCATGGCAAATGAGATATGAGTTCATCAAACTTCAAGGTCTATATTGGGCGCTTTGTACTGACCTAATGTCTAGTCAAGTCTTGTCCATAATTACATCTTTTTTGTCTGAAGCAAAGGGAATTGAGTGGCCTTTCACACCAGGGCGACATGGGAAGCAGTTTGTTCGACTAACCATGGACACGGAATTCCAAAATCTGACTCCCGAGCCCTTTCCCTAGAAAATAACGGTCAACTGAACTGTCCACCCGTTTCTGGTTCAGTATGGTTAAGTGAGGAAACATGGGGAAATCAATCCCCAAACAAGGTTTGCAGGTGATCCAGTCTTCCTGGGCAAGCCACCTGGCTGCCCTTCCCTAGCACCTCCCCAACGTGATGTTTTTTCCTCGCCCACGCCCGTGTGGCCCCCAGGCGAGCTCGCGTCCTAGCACTTCCTTTGGAAATAGCACTGCCTGTGCCGAGGAGGGGAAGAACACCATGGACCCCTGGTCCCTGATGTGGTTGCAAATCAGCTTGTTGGAACTGACTATTTGTTCACGCAACTGGTCAAAGAATGGACTTCCAATTGTTTTGGTACCTGGCTTGCATGGAACATCTTATTAGGGCCTGCAGACTGGACCTCAAAAGAAAAAAACAACCTTCTGGAGTCGTGGTGTTTCAGCCATGCAGGACTCCATGCAGCATTGAGAGTTGGTGCAGGGAGTCGGTGAACGTCAGGCCGCATCCAAAAAAGTCAGAAACCTTCCACGTCTGGTCGCCAGGATGAGCGGAAAACCACATCTTCTCTACCTGTCCCGGTCGGAGATGAGACCGCCCCAACATGGATGCCAAACCCGAGGAGACGCACCTGTCCAGCTGCTAGAGCGACCACCTTGGTGGAACAGTTAGCCCCATTGGGTGCTTCCAGTGGCTGTGGATGGGTGCTGTGGCACCTCCAACCTGCCAAGAATCACCCCAACCAGGAGTCACAAAGCTCGGAGTGCCGAAGCTTCCGAACGGAGAAAGGAGGTTAGGTGACATCCACGGCCCCGTAGGATGGGACGAGCCACACCATCCGACTCCGTGTGAGTCCTGTAACCTGGAACTTCTGGGGGACATTGGTTTGGTGTACTGCATGATGGCACAGTGGCTCGCCTGGGATTCCTTGCACCCCTTCACCGCTGTCATTCGCCTTCCAGTTCAAACTCCAGCGGTTACCAATGATTTCCTCTTTGTTTGGTCAGGGGAGGGATGTTGACAATTGAAGCCACGACATTATGACATTATTGACATTGCCCGTGAAAAGTTGGCACGAATGCGGGGACGCATTCAAGTCCGGTATCTTGCGTAGAATACGCCAACAAGAACCAACCACAAATGCTATTCCTCCCTAAAGAGCAGTTGCGCAGCTGTTCAACAACACGCAACCCCTGGCGGCCAGCTGAGTGACATGAGGGCCGGGAAGCGTAGGATCCTGCATGCAAAGCACCTGATTTCAGGTTCGATCACACCTATGTAATGTGGGAATTGCTAAAGGTACCTGGAGGTCATTGTACCACATAGTCACACCCCAACCAATAAATTCATTAGTGAATGCCCTTTGGAACATGCACTGGAAACTGCTTCTACATGTTTCTACCAATTTGATGACCTCTTTCTTTTAGCTGCCATTGGATCTACGGAGGGCCAAAAACGCCACACACAAATCCCTGCTCACCTCCCCTGGGCGTGCCAGGCCGACACTTTGGCCTTTGCAACAGCCTCCGCCTGCGCCTTCAGCGGCGTAAGCCTTGGGCCGTTCTCCGTTGCCGTGTTCGCTGGACACGCCGCGGGTGGATCGGGTTGGTGCGCTGAGTTGGATGAAGTGGTGTTGATGCTGCTGTCTACGGTGGTTTGGTGTCAATTGACCCCAACTGGTGTTTGTTTTTCTGGCCAGCCCGCCAAAAAGACTACTACTGACACAGCTGCTCGTGCTGAAATAACTGCTGGTGAACACCTCATCGCGAAGATCCATTCCAAAGCCTTACCCGCCACATGGGTACCCATGAACCAAACCTGTACCACATATCAAACACTCACAGTTGCCAAGCTCTGCCTTTGTCTCACCCGCGCGATGAGCTCTTGACAGCCGTGGCGGATGTTGGTGTCATGGCGCAGGCTGGGCTCGCTGGGCTTCAGCTGCTTCAGAACAAGGCCCACCACCTGAACTGCCTCCTGAGCGGTTAGAAGGGTGAATTATCACTATAGGGTTAGGTCTTGCTTTTGACTAGTATAGGACCTAAACGATGATATATCAATATACGGTATAAATATATATATATATACAGTACATACATACTCCTGTATATACTACAACTTGATACAATAATGTAGTACGCCAAACATTGAGCTTGACCTAAAGTCGAAAACCACCAGGAGAATCTTTCAGGCCAGGAACGAACCACTGCATTGAGAAAGGCACGGGGGGTACCGAACTGACTGGTCATGGCAAGAGTCTGCATCCTTGCCAACCTCCCATTCCAAGCAATCCAATGGAATTCGCGGCTCCACATGTTGAAGTTCACAGAACCTGAGCGGTTCAACATGAGAGAGACGAGTTTGGCCAGAATGTGCCAGAATGCCTCGTTTAGATAGGGGGACTTGCCAGCTTCCCACCATGCAGTCATTCTGAAACAAACACACTGACCTGCCAACCCATGAACAGTTGTATCTACTCTCATGCAGCACGCAGTGGATTTTACAAGGAACTGTCTGTTGCTGATGGTTGGTCGTGTTTAACGGGCCAATGATTACAATGGGTCCTGTCACCCGTCCAAGACAACAGGCACCCAGAAGCCATTCGTCAGGGTCCCAAAACAGCCTGTTGGAGGGTCCTGGTTTGGATTCTGCACGTGCTTGCCCGGCCGCTTGTAATGATCGCCGTGCTCCGAGAAGGCACCCGGGCGGACGCGCACTTCCACCACCAGCCGGAAGCGCGCGTGGTCGACACAGAGGTCCGGCAAAGAGTAGAGGCAGAAGGTGTATTGGAAGGATGGAGACAAGTAAATCCTTGGAGCGTCCGGCAGGTCCGAGGGTAATCCTGGACCATATGAGCAAAATGGACGAGTGCCCCCCAAAATGACTTTCAGTGACTTTCATCTGGTATGCGCGCCTATTTTCCAAGTCAATCGGAGATCCTGGGAGATCACTGGGGGATGCCACCTGTGAGCGAGTTGAACCGACTCCAAGCATCCCCTTCTTCCCCACCCTCAGGCCCTCCGAGGCGATCCCCTCGATGTGGTGCAAGCTGGAGCCATGCCAGGCACGCTTCCAAGACCTCAGCGGTTGAGCTGGCGGTCTAGCGGCCCACGATGTTTGTATAGCCATAGCGGAGTTCTTGTTTTGTTGGGGATGGAAGGACATGGGCCCACATAGGAAACCTTACCAGCAGCGCGAAGGGAATTGCGTGAACCCTTGGAATCCAAACGAAAGGCAGCAGTCGCCCCAGTTCTTTCATTGTCACCCCCTTTGCAGGTTCCACTGTGATGGTCTGAGGATCAAATTGGGCGATGCAACATAAGATTTTGAACCTGTGATAGGCCATGATGGCCTTGCCGCCTTAGCCGCCCTGCCCTCCGCCCTCCGGAATTCTTGGCCAATACAATCCAATGCTCATGGCAGGAGAAAATCACTTCCCCTCTTCAGAATCTTCAGAAACAGTTGATTGTAAAAAGTAGCGGGTGCTGCAACATGCAACTTTGCTAACTGCGAACTCAAACCTTAAATTAAACATCTAACACCAATCAACCACACTGACAAACAGATCATATCCTCACGCCATCTATTACATAAATCCTCACACAACTCCGCCCCCCAGTCCGACCCATCCCCGTCCGTCCCAGACCACGTCCCGACCCATCCCCCGTTCCAGGAGACCGTTCCAGCGGCACGTGGCGCCCGTTGGAGGTGGGCTCCAGCGCGAAGCCCAGGGCGCCCAACGGCCGGAGCCCGTTGTGGCGAAAGCGCACGGCGCCGATGGGCGCCGCCGCGTAGACGCAGTTCCGCGCGTGGCGCTCGGAGATGAGGCCTCCGGCGCGGCACAGTTGGGCGGTGAGGACGGGAAGAAAGACGTGGCCGGCGCCGCATTCTGTGGGGTGGGAGAGTTGAGTGACTGAGGTGAGTTGGGAGAGTTGGGTGGTTGATGGTGCTCCAAGAATCCGTGCGAAAGAGACGGTCCGACCTGAGAAAAGCCTTATATAGGCTTTAGAACACACTCGAGCAATGTCCCTGTGCCAAGATGTGCTAGACCATCAAAAAGCATCAGGTTGTCCAAAAGTATGGTCGAAAATAGGGCCTATTGTACTGTATTAACTGTTTCGCTGGCTGTATGTGTATGAAACTATTCCATACGTGGATGGTCTGGGCATCTCCAGCTGAATGAACTTGGAAACCCGCAGAACCCCC